TATTCAATTCTATGTCAACTGTTCCTTCAAGAGGAGCAGAAACAGCTTCTATTTATATGAAATTTGGACCGTATCGCAAACTATGATTATTAACTTCAAGAAAACTCCGGAAGTTTCCGTAACATTCCAGCGCGATTATTAATACCAAAGGTAATTTACCTAGGTATTTTACCGGTAGCTACCAGAGGTATTTTACCTCGCATCACGTAATGTTACATATCTGAGGTATTTTACCTCTGTTATACAAATACTAATAAGGTAATACAAGAATATAAATATACTATACTAAAAATAAATAAGATAATACATATATGAAATACTAATATAATAATAAGATAAAATAATAATAATAAAATACGTTGTAATAAAAATATATAAAAAATAAAAATAAAGAAATAGGGTCAACAATTCCTTTCCACTTAATCTTGAGCTCCTGCGAAATTCTGTTCTAAATTATTCATCCTATTACATTTCTGTAAAAATACTTCAAATTCTCTTTTGGATAAATTATATAACCAGCGAGGTGTCACGAGTTCGGTCAGTTTAATAGGGAATTCATTTACTTCCTGCAATAATCTATATGATCTTTTTGAAATTTGTTTGAGGCGAGCGATGTTTTGGGAACTGTATCTTCCCAATTGTTTTTGAAGCTCCTTTTTCATTGTAGTTTGTTGTAATTGATTAATTCGCGTTTCAATTAAAGAATAGGCAAGTATTCGTTTACCATTGGGATTATTAACATTCTCAGAATATCGTAATAGTTTCTTAAGGTCAGTCTCGACATACAGTCCAAAGTCAAAATCCACTTCGGCATTAAATAAATCAAGAAGATAAGGAGTAAAGTGGTTTTTCTTAATATCTGCAGTAGACACATTAATATTTTGCTCTTGGGTACTAATATTATAACTGTTTGGTGTCAGTTGAATATGAACATTATCAATTTCTTCGGGAAAATCTTTATATAACTCCATCAATTTCTTTTGAAGATCTTGTATGAAAGCCATTGAGGTATCTTTTGTTTTTCTTGGAGGAGGATGTGTATTTATACTTTTTTTCTTAAGGATAAGCTTGTTATTATACAATAACAACTTGTGGTACCCATGTCGATCGATCATGATACATTTTCAGGAGGGATCCGTTAATTGGTGCTTTTAATACTTTTCCATCCATTGTCCTCAATTTGTACACCCCTTGATAAGGTCGATCATGAATATAAAAGGGTCCTTTCCACTTAGGATCTAATTTACCAGTGTGACTTGTTTGTTTTGCGGCATCATAAACAAGTACCTTATCTCCAATTTCGTATTCAATATGTTTAATAATCTTTTGGTCATGATATTCCTTTTGTTTAACTTGACGTTTCTTTATTTGAATTTGAGCTTTTCCCCTTTCTTCAGGTAAATTATCTACTAGGTCATATAATCGAGTCAATAGGTTTTCCTCTTCATATTCTAATCCTTCTTTTGTAGGAAACCGGGCAGTTCGTCCATATACTAAATAGAAAGGTTCAATCTGCGTAGTTGCTTGTTTAGCTGTTCGGTAAGCAAAGAGAACAGAAGGGATATGCTTGTCCCATTCAGTATTAGTGTCAGATGTTTTGGCTAGTGAGTCTCCTAAGGTCTTGTTAAATCGTTCCACCAAACCATTAGTTTCAGGATGATAAGGTGTGGAGTACAAGTGTTTTATTTCAAATCTTTTTAATAACTCCTCTATTAATTGATTGCGAAAATGGGATCCTCTATCAGTTAGAATAATTTGGGGGCATCCATGTCTACAAATAATCTCTTCATAAATGAAATCAGCAACTTTAAGTGCAGTAGCTTCAGTAACGGCTCGGGCTTCGGGATACTTCGTTAAGTAGTCAGTAGCAACAATAATATATCGGTTGCGTCTTGGGGTAATTGGTAAGGGTCCAACTATGTCGATTCCAACCCTTTGGAATGGACTTCCTACTGGAATTGGTTGTAAGGGTTCCTTATTGCGTTTTCGTCCTCGTCGTTGGCAGCGATCACATGATTTAATATAGGCCTTGATATCGTCATACATTTGTGGCCAGTGGTATAAGTTTCTCACTTTGTTAAAGACAATATCTATTCCCAAGTGTCCTCCTAGTGGGTGGTTATGTAGCATATAAAGTACAGGTTCAATTTCATGTTTTTGTAAAACTTTCAATAATTTTCCTCTAGTTTTCTTTCGTCGATCCTTCTTATATAACAAATTATTTTTAACTTCGAAAAATCTGCTTTTTGATTGTATTCTGTTTTTGTCTTTTTGTATAAAATTATATGGATATATTTGGTGTATAAGGTAACTAATTAAGGCTTGATACTCTTGTGATTCCATTGTGTCAGGACACCGACAACCTGAACTGGATTATGTTTACCGTCAGATTAAAACTTTATTTTTTTTCTTTTATATTTTGTGTAATAAATAAATAAAACTTAAATTTCTAATTGGGAAAGGGAGTCAGCGTTGTTGTGGGATTTTCCTGCTCGGTATAAAATAGTGAAGTTATAAGGTTCTAATCTTAATATCCATCTGGCTCGTCGTCCTTTCAGTTCAGTAGTGTGTAACCATTTTAGTGCAGCATGATCAGTTACAACATAGAAATGGGTTGTTCCAAAATAATGTTTGAAATGTTCTACAGCCCAAATAACGGCGAGACATTCCTGTTCAGTAGTTGAATAGTTCCGTTCAGCTTGGTTTAAGCTTCGGCTAGCAAATGCAACAGCATATTCTCGTTTATCAGGGTCCTTTTGGGCTAACACTGCTCCTAATCCTGTTCCTGAAGCATCGGTATGTAAATAGAAGGGTTTCTTAAAGTCTGGATATCTCAAAACTGGGGCACTAGTCAACTTGACTTTTAACCATTCAAAAGCTTGCTGTTGTTCAGCTTCCCATTGAAAAGGAGTATCTTTTTGTAACAATTTATTTAGGGGTTTTGCTTTAGTAGAAAAATCTTTTATAAACTTGCGATAATAGGAAGCAAGTCCTAAAAATCCTCGGATAGTTCGTAGGTTAGTTGGTTGTGGGTACTCCTTTACTTTAATTAAATTTCCTTCATCAGGTTGAATTCCTTGTCGAGAAATTTCGTGTCCCAAGAATTTAATGCTGGTGGAGAAGAATTGACATTTATCCTTGTTTAATTTCAACTGGGCTTTCCTCAGGGTTTCAAAAATAGTAGAAAGATGATGAACATGTTCTTCAAAAGTTTTAGAGTATATGGTGAGGTCATCCAGGTATACAAGTACGAATTTTCCAAGGTAGGGCTTCATTACTCTATCCATTAATCTTTGGAATGTGGCTGGTGCGTTACATAGACCAAATGGCATGACGTTGAACTCATAAAGTCCAAATTTAGTTACAAAAGCAGTTTTCTTCCGGTCCTCTGCTTTCATAGCTACTTGCCAATATCCGGAGGCAAGGTCAAGACTTGAAAACCATTGGGCTCCTTGAAAAGAGTCGAGGATATCATCAATAATTGGTAGAGGGTAAACATCTCGCTCAGTTATTGCATTTAATTTTCGATAGTCGACACACAGTCATTTTTTTCCATTTTTCTTAGGTACAAGGACAATTGGTGAGGCCCAAGGGCTGGAAGATTCTCGAATTATTCCTTTTTCTTCCATTGTTTCTAATTCCCTTTTTACAAACTCCTGATCAGAGGGTGCTAGTCGGTATGCGCGTTGTTTAATTGGTACAACATCTTTAGTTTTGATTTCATGTTCCACCACATGAGTTTGTCCCAGTTCACTTGTTTGGCCTTCTTCGGATATGTTTTCTGCGAACACGTCAGTAAATTCAGTAAACAATTTATCAGCGGATTTTTCTTGTGATTCATCTAATATTCCAACTTGGAATTCAGAAGTTTTTACAGCAGCAGTTTCAGTTAAATAAATGGCAGGATTTTCATCATCAGAATTTTCTGATTCTTTTGTGTCCAAGATTTTAGTGTCACGATCTTGCCAGGGGTTTGAATATAAATCCTCTTCATCCCATTGGTCAGACAATTCAGAGTGATATGTTTCATTTTCATCTAAATCATTTTCTAAGTCATATTCCAATTCTTGTTGGATTGTATCATCTTCTTTTTCATTTTCAGATTCCATCTCCAATGGATCGTTATGTGTATGTGCAGTTTGGACCACGGTTTCATTTCCATTATATCTTAGCTTCAATGTATTAGCAGCAAAGTTCCACTGAGCACGGGTTTTCTCAAAAAAGTCAGTTCCCAATAATAGGGTTTCTTCGGAAGAGTCAATTACTTGCAATTTCATGTGAACTAGCAAGTTTTGTATAGCGATAGGTACAGAGTTAATTTGTCCTAAGGCTCGTTGTCTCGCACCATTGGCAGTAATTACAACTACTTTGGAAGATTCGTCAATTGCAAGGCCTAACTTCTTTCTTAACCGGTTAGTTATAATACTAACTGCTGCGCCAGAGTCAAGTACAGCGATCACGGGGTTTTTCTTAATGCGGACATAGCATTTAGCAGCGGTCGTTCTTTTGGCTTCATTAGTTTCAACATGGTTAGTTTCCTTTTGAGTAGGTCGTTTCAAAATCTTTGACATATTTTTCTTTTGATCTGGATATTTCAGTAATTGTCCAATCTTTGCGCTTGCTTGCATATTCAAAATATCTTGTGAAATGTCGTATGGTGTCATTTGATCAATAATAGAAGGTTGACGTTTCATCCTAGGTTTCTTTGCAGGTTTCACTTCAGTTGGTTTTACTTCTTCCATGGGTTCTTCTTCATATGGATCTTGCTCAAAGTCGACTAGGACTTCAGGTTCTTGTACTTGAACTTTTGGTAGAGGTGGATTTGGAGTGGTAGTCATTTTCGGAGGTCTTCCTGGTTTACGAATAGGTGAGGGTCGGTTATTGGGTTTATTTCTCATTGCCTCATATGCTTCATGTTCTTCAATATCATGATTGTCGTACTCGACATAACTGACATTCCTGCGATTTAGAATTTGATATTGTTGTGATGGTTGTTGCTGCGGCTTTTTCTCTGCCAAGCAATCGCGAGCAAAATGACCGATTTCATTACAGATATAACATCTACGAGGCCCACTATTATAGTTGTTATTATTATTGTTGTCATTATTGTTTCTATTAAATTCACGGGAGTTGTTATTTCTTCTTTGACTTTGATATCCGAGTTTCTGGGTCAAACCTTCAACTTGTTGCATTAAATTGATTTGCAATTTGTTAAAGCGTTTGGTTAGTTCGTCTATTTCTTCATCACTTGAATTTTTCTTCTTCTTGGACGACTTCTTTTTCTTTTTAGGTTTCTCGTCCTCACTCTCACTACTATCGGATTCGTCACTGGAACTTTCATAATGTTTAGTCTTCTTTTTACGTCTCTTAACTTCTCCTTTTCCTTGTTCGTATTGTTTAGCTTTAAGTAATGCGGCATTTAGATTAGCAGGAGCATGGGTTTTGACAACGGCTCGTATTTCTGGAAGTAATCCTTTAATAAAATAGGGAAGGGTCCGAGCTGCATCAAGTGTAGCTCTCGTGGCCATTCTCATGACCTGATAATAATATTCTTCAACGGATTCAGTTTTTCGTTGTTTTAGTCCTCTTAATTCTTCTAACCATTGATCTCTAAAATCGTCATTACAGAATTTATTTTCAAAGGCTCGACGGAGAGCGGTCCAATCATGCCCATCATTGTCAGCAGCCCATCCAAGATACCAGTCACGAGCTCCTTTTTTCAGATAAGCTCCCATTGCATTCTTTTTTCATCCATCATTCCAGTTATTGGCTCCAGCAGCCATCATAAAGTCTTCGAGCCATTCAGCTGGATCTTCTTCACGAGTTCCTGCGAACTTAGGGGGTTTTACTAAAATAGCGGACATTTCTTCTTCGCTGTTATCTTCGTCGTCGAGTGAACTTCCTGAGCTATGTTCACTTCCTTCGTCACTAGTGTCGTGTTCGTGGTCCGAAATATTCTCTTGATCGTCAGGAGGTCCGAGATCGATAAGATTATTGTCTACTGGGTTATTGTTTAAATTATTGTTCTCGTTGTTTAAAATATTAAGAAAATTGTTTATATTGTCTAAAGGGAATCCTTCTCCCTGATTTCCTTCCTCAATCACTTCGTTTACGTCTTGTGTTAAAATTGATTGATTATCGGCTTCTGGTTCACTAGTAGCTATTATTATTCGGTCGTGATCTTCAAGATAATTACGTTGGCCTAAGGGTCGATAAGTCGTTTCGTCGTCCGTGGGTTCAAAAATACTTCGATACTCAGTATTGTTGTTAGCGTCGTCAGAACGGACAGTATTTGCACTACGTGGACTTGATAGAGTTTCTTCAAAGTCAGCTACTCTGGTTTGAGAAAAGGTTGAACTTACTGGAGATATATTTCCTTGACGAATTCGAGGAAAATTAGGATTACGTAAAGGGAAAATAGAAGTATCTATTCTTGGAGGTGTTTGCTGGTTCTGATAAAATCGATAACGAGGTCGTGCAGGGATTGCTGGTGGATTAATATCAGGTTGGGATAAACTACGCTGGTGTTGAGTTACT